TCTACTTTTTACCTAGCCTATTATGCACTGCTATCCCGGTTACATAACTTATTATGTGATGACTCAAAAACTTTTGAAGATGTTATTGCATTATTTGAGATAGAATAAGGCAAAGAAGAGAAAAGTTCCTCTGATCGAAACTTACTTTTCTTGCATCCATGCTTGAGAGTTGAGACTTATTGTGTGGACGCTATTAAAAACAAAAAACAAAAATGGATTTGCTACATGGGCTCTTGATTAGCATTGAGCCCAATTTTTGAAAGCCTTACCCTTAACGGATATAGGCATGGTTGTCATCCAAGACTGGCCCATCCCTAATCCATAGTTGATGGTAGAATGGGTTTATTATTTTTATTTGATGGATGGCTTTAGTACGTTCACTTTTACCTATTGGTGTCAATTCTGTAAACCACGCCTGAGCACAATAACCACATTCTGAAACCAATTGACTTCCTCTCTAGGGATGGCAACGAGTTCCCACAGGGTGAGGACCCCCTCCCTATCCCCGTCCCCGTCAATGACGGGTATGGGGATTTTTGGCGAAAGATGAAAAATAGCCTCCATCCCCATATCTACGGGAAATGATAGGTCCCTACAGGTATTTGGAGTCCTCACCAAATAAAACTCAATGCTCGTTTCTTGTTTGAGAAGTTAACTGAAGATAGAACGAATTAAGAATTTGTATGAGTCTTAAAATAACAATACGATGATCATTCGTTCTGAATGCAAGAAATAAGTTGCGCAAGCATGTAAACAACGAAAATCACATTTTGACAATCTTGTGAACAATCAGAGGGAAAATGAAATAAAAAATAATAAGGCCAAAAGAATGAGATCTGTTTCACTTGAAAATAAATCATCAAGCACAGACACTCAGATACTCACAAATACTCACAACTCAGGCTCAAGCAAACTGCAAGTAGCCGATTAAAGAATAGAAACAGAGCTATGGGCACTACCTTTTGAAGGTTGTCGAGAATCATAGGTTGAAGGGAATTGACCGATTGAAGAACATGAACAAAGCCAATGAGCTACAACATAGAGAAAAGGAGACTGGAGTTTGTAGAGGAGGAATCACAGAGCACATTCGCAAATCTCAAAAATTTGAAATAGTCCTTCTAGTTCTAAGGTTACTGGCAAATTGGGTTGGGCTTAGGCAATTAAGTTTAAGAAGATTATGGGCTGGACTAGACTATATAATTGGGTTTGGAAAAACCGAAAAAAAATGGATTGGTCAATTAATTAGGTTAGCTAAGTAAAAATTAATTGTTAATATATTTAAAATATATATATATAAATAAATTTTTTTTTATTTTATATGAATTTACACGGTTACCCAAGGGCGTAGTAAATTCCCCATGAAATTTCAAGGGGAAAAATATGTCTCCATCCTCGCCCCACAAGGAGAAATATTATGAGAATCTCCATCCCCGTGGCAAGGAAATCCGTGAAGCTCCGAGGGTTGCAGAGGAAATTGCCATTCCCATTCCTCTCTAATCGACATTCTTCTAATTTTCCTTCCCTTCTCAACTATCCTTCATCTCTCCAATCATATATCTGGATTTCTCTGCACCTAGGACATCTTGCTCTGCATGGAGGCCACGATGTTCGCACTCCAACCCTCCTCCAATCTCATATTTGGAGTTTCTGTGCTCGGAGGCTATCTCTTTTGCCTTTCTCGGAGCTATCACCGTTGTCAGTTGGAATTCTAAAGCTTGATAAGTCTCTTTCATTCTTTCCCTCTCCACTGCAAATCAGATCCAAGTTTAAAAGTCGATTTTTGAGCTTTATTTACAGCTTCGCTCAAGCTTTGATGTCTTTTACGATCAACCTTCAGCCTTCCCTCCATTTCTCAATGTGTGACGTGTAAACCATAATAGGAATCAGGAAACCTATCGTACTTGTGAGTTACTTTGACACTTTTTTTTTCTTTTTTGTCATTGCTATCGTTTGATTAGTTGTTGCTTAATTCCAGCCATTTTTGAAGATAGTACTTTCCTTTTGATGATGTATAATGAACTTGTAAGGTCCTGAATTTGATTTTTTTGTAGCCTTTGATTATCGTTACTTGGTTTTGTTTAGTTACTTAAGCTCAAAAACTTGGTAGATATAAGTTTAGTTGGTAGTTTTTGCTCTTTCCAATTTCAAATTTTTGGGGTTGTTTATATGATCATCAGTAGATAATATAACAATTATTTAACAATAATTTGCATGTTGTCTTTAATCAGCATATAACAATGACATAACATGATATTTAATGATTTTATGATTATCACACTTAGTAAAGTTCTTGAATTAGATTGTTGCACATGCTTTTCAAATTCCAAATTAACATCCATATGCTATTAGTGAGTTTCTCCACTTAATCCAAAACTTTCCTCAGGCACTAAGAATGTCCAAAACTCTCCTCTTTTGTAATATCACTTTCCTAGGCACTAAGAATCATCCAAAACTCTCCTATTTTGTAATATCACTTTCCTAGGCACAAAGAAGACAACATGCATTTTTATACAAATGAATGAAACAAACTAAAATGCTCTACTTTCAGTCTAGATTGTACAAAAAACAAACAAGTCTCGAACCTTGGCATGAAACTTTCAATCTAGCTTGTATCTGAAAACAAACAGGTCCCACCTTGGCACGAAAAGGCTTTTCTGGGATCAATTTTATACTTCTTTCACTGAGTTCTAGTCCCATGTCAATTAGGCATTTGATTGAATATAGAAAGAACATCATTTTGATTTGATAGTGTACTTCTAGGTTATTGCAGCTTACCTGAAATTGTTGTAACAAACAAATTAACTTTGGATCATAGAATACTATTTATAAATATAAATTCCCTTTTGTATTATGATCTATGCAAGAGATTTAATTCACATTCTGAAATTGTTCTATATCATAAATTACCTTTGTCGATGTATAGTTTTGGTCCTAGACCTGAGGTAAGATCATGGTCAAGTAGCGACTAGTAACTGTCAGTGTAACCTCCCATCTCTCCTTTGATGTTGCAAACCATCCTCCGAGTACTAGTAGCATGTGATGGAAATATTAGAATTCCACAATGGTAAGGTGCATGAAATTAGTTTTAGTACAGTAAAAAATTGACAGGCATATGACGTGGACCTGGCCGTGGATCGATTAGAGAAGGAGGATAGTGTGGGGCGATAGGCAAAGATGGTGGGCTAAAGGGTAGATAAGGTGGACCCAGTTGTGGGAAGGGAATGAGTAGAGATGGTGGGCCAAATGGTAGATAGGGTGGACCTGGTGGTGGAAAGGTGACGAGCACGGGCAAATGGGGTGGGCCTAGTGGTGGAGAGGCTAGCTCGGCGGTGGCAGGTGTGAGTGAAGGGTACTTTGGTGGGATTGACATTTCTGTAAAAACAGGAAAAAGCTTAAAGGCTATAACAAACTATATTGGAATTCAGATAAAAAACAATTATTAGGGTATCATATTATGGTTTCTTAGGTCCTATTTTTTTGAAATTGTGAACTTCGTAAGAAAAACAGTTGGAAAGACTTGTTGGACGTTTATATATATATATAAAAAAAAAAACCCACTCAAGTGGATGTGGTGTAAAGGAAAACGGGGGCATTTGGTTAAGAATGATTCAAGAATTTGAAGGCAAAAATCATAACTCTACTAAAAATATTTTTGTTGGAGTCTCATGATAATTTATTTCAAAATACTCTTTTTCACATATTATCTTATGCCTCTATAGGTGGGAATCTGGAAACTTGAATGCTGAAATGTAATTTTAAAAAATATTTTTAATATGTATTTTTAGGGTAGGCGATGAGCATAGGCAGATGGGGTGGGCTTGATGGTGGAAAGGCCAATCTGATGGTGGCAAATGTGAGTGAGGTGTACTCTGGTGGGACTGACATTTCTGTAAAAACAGGAAAAAGTTTGAGGGCTGTAACAAATTGTATTGAAATTTAGATAGAAAGCAATTATTAGGGTATCATTTTATGGTTTCTTAGGTTTCTTGTGTTTTTTTTATATTGTGAATTTCGTAAGAAAAATAGTTGGAAATACTCGTTGTACGTATATATCAGTAGAAAAACCCACTCAAGCGGATGTGGTGTAAAGGGAAACGAGAGCTTTTGGCTGAGAATGATTCAAGAATTTGATGGCAAAAATCATAAGTCTGCTAAAAATATTTTTGTTGGAGTCTCATGAGTCATGACAATTTATTTCAAAATACTCTTTTGCACATATTATCTTATGCCTCTGTAAGCAGGAAATATGGAAACTTGAATGATGAAAAGTATTTTTAAAAAGTATTTTTAATATGTATTTTTAGGGTAGGCGATGAGCATAGGCAGATAGGGTAGGCTTGGTGGTGGAGAGACCAACCCGACGGTGGTAGGTGTAAGTGAGGGGTACTTTGGTGGGACTGACATTTCTATAAAAATAGGAAAAGCTTAAGAGCTTAACCAATTGTATTGGAATTTAAATAAAAAGCAATTATTAGGGTATCATTGGGTCTTATTTTTTTGAAATTGTGAACTTCGTAAGAAAAATAGCTGGAAAGACCCGTTGGATGTATATATCAATAGAAAAACCCACTCAAGCAGATGTGGTTGAAAAGGAAAGGGGGCTTTTGGCCGAGAATGATTCGAGAATTCAAAGGCAAAAATCATAAGTCTACTAAAATTTTTTTTGTTGGAGTCTAATCATAATTTATTTCATAATACTCTTTTGCACATATTATCTTATGCCTTTGTAGGCGGGAAACCTAGAAACTTGAATGCTGAAATGTATTTTTAAAAAGACTTTTTAATACGTATTTTCAAGGTAGGTGATGAGCACAGGTAGATGGGGTGGGCTCGGTGGTGGAGAGGCCAGCCCGGGAGTGGCAAGTGTGAGTGTGAGGTACTCTAGTGGGACTTACATTTCTATAAAAACAGGAAAAAGCTTAAGGGCTGTAACAAACTGTATTTGAATTTAGATAAAAAGCAATTATTAGGGCATCATTTTATGGTTTCTTAGGTTTCTTGTGTTTCATGGGTCTTCCTTTTTGAAATTGTGAACTTCGTAAGAAAAACAGCTGGAAAGACCCATTGGACGTATATATCAGTAGAAAACCCCACTCAAACGGATGTGCTGTAAAGGGAAATCAAGCTTTTGGTCAAGAATGCTTTGAGAATTTGAAGGCAAAAATCATAAGTCTACTGAAAATATTTTTGTTGGAGTCTCATGATAATTTATTTAAGAATACTCTTTTGCACATATTATCTTATGCCTCTATAGGCAGGAAATCTAGAAACTTGAATACTAAGATGTATTTTTAAGAGTATTTTTAATACGTACTTTTAGGGTAAGCGACGAGCATGGGTAGATGGGGTGGGATGGGGTGGGCTTGGTGGTGGAGAGGCTAGCCCGACGATGGCAGGTGTGAGTGAAGGGTACTCTGGTGGGATTGACATTTCTATAAAAACAAGAAAAAGCTTAAGGGCTGTAACAAACTATATTGGAATTTAGATAAAGAGCAACTATTAGGATATCATTTTATTGTTTCTCAGGTTTCTTGTGTTTCTTGTGGGTCCTATTCTTTAAAATTGTGAAATTCGTAAGAAAAACAATTGGAAAAACCTATTGGACGCATATATCAATAGAAAAACCCACTCAAGTAGATGTGGTGTAAAGGGAAACGGGGGCTTTTGGCTAAGACTGATTCAAGAATTGAAGGCAAAAATCATAAGTCTACTAAAAATATTTTTGTTGGAGTCTCATGATAATTTATTTCAGAATACTCTTTTGCACATATTATCTTATGCCTTTATAGGTGGGAAATCTAAAGACTTGAATGCTAAAATGTATTTTTAAAAAGTATTTTTAATACGTATTTATAGGGTATAAGTTAATAATATAATTAATAAATTTTTTATAATTAATTTTTATTAAAAATATAAATATTGATTTCAATTTAATTAATTAAAATTAATTACGTGTTAATGGTATTAAAATAAGGTACTAGTATCTATTCCCCTAACTTCTTAAAAATTATAAGAAAATATTTTAAAATTGGACAATGATAGACTTACCTTCTGCCGTTACACATCTATCCACACACTAACAGAATCCGTCAAGTACACTAACGGTCTCCGTTACACACCTAACCCCTAAACTTCTCCATCTTCTTCAAATCTAGAGAGTGCTGGGTTTCTTAATCTTGCTACCATTAATGTAAGAAGCAAACATCCAACCAAAAAAAGTGTCTGACGTTGCCTGTTGCTGCCAACATTCCATCTTTTTTGGAGCACCCATTAGACATTTTCAACAACGCACAAAGAATTCAAAATAAATTTCCAGCAACTCACAACAAATATAAAAAAAAAACCAGAATAAAATCGTTTGAAATTAGGAAAAGACAAGAACCCGGATCGGGTTCTCACGGCGAGAACCCAGTCTCACAGTGAGAACCCGATTTGGGTTCTCACGATCGGGTTCTCACTGTGAGAACCCAGATCCCGTGAGAACCCACGGGTTCTCCAAGAGGGGGGAAGAGAAGGAAGAAGAAGAAAAAGAAGGAAGGAGGAGGGAAAAGAAGGAAGAACCAGGTAATCACCTACTAGAATTGCTTCTCGCCATGAGAACCCAGTCTCACGGTGAGAACCCGATCTGGGTTCTCACGATCGGGTTCTCACCGTGAGAACCCAAATCCCATGAGAACCCACGGGTTCTCCAAGAGGGGGGAAAAGAAGGAAAAAGTAGAAAAAGAAAGGAGGAGGAGGGAAAAGAAGAAAGAACCGGGTAATCACCAACTAAAATTGCAGGTTTTGTTTGCACTAATCTTAACCTCTGAGGAGAGTAAACAAGCTAGAGTAGAAAGGAGAGGAGAGAGAAAAAAAGGCTTGGTAACAAATACCGTCAGTTTGCATAACGGAGATAGTTAGGGTGTAATAAAATGTGTAACGTTAGAGTGTGTATGTATATCTTTATCCTTTAAAATTACATCATTTCAATAAGATCTTATTGAAATGACTAAAATACCTTATTTTTAAAGTATGAATTAGAGCATTTTTTGTCCTTTCTTACAGTGTTTTATTAAAACAACGTAATTTTAAGATAATTTTCATCTTAACATGGATAAACACTAACTCCCTTAGAATGAATATGAGCTTCTATAATTTTTTATATAAATTAATTAAAAAATGTTTTTGTT